AACGCTTTTATTTTTTTCGTGATTCGATTCCGCAAAATTAACAAAATCATGAAATCTAATTTTTGTTTTTCAACAAAAATCAGACGACACGTTTTGTCGCGAAGTAAATTTTCTCACAGGTAAAATTGCTGACTTTTGCAATTAACAACTATAAATACTTTTGATTTTTCAATCAAAAGTCTTTCTAGTTGGTACTAATAAAAGCTATATTTCTTCAGTTCTAAAAATTCGATTTAAAAATCTAATAATACAATTATAAAGAAATAAATAAAACTCTTATAATATAAAGTGTAAATACTCTTATAATTATAATATAAAGTGTAAATAAGAGTTTAAAAAGAGAAAAGGGTTAGAAAAACAAGTAAAAACGTTTCAGTCGGTATAAACCGACTATACCGACTGAATTGTACCCTGCACCTTTAGTTGTTGTATAGCAATTACTCAAACCTGTGAAGCCATTCTATAGAAACTTCCCGGATATGTCTGATCTATAATTGGACACACAACTGCCAAGTTTCATGAATCTGACTTTATTTTTTTTCCAAATATTTAAAATAAGCTTTTGGACTTGTATAGGAACTACTCGAACCTGTCAAGCAATTCAACCAAAACTTCAGAAATATATCTGATCTATAATTGGACACACAACTGCCAAGTTTCACGAATTTGACTTTATTATTTTTTCAAATATTTAATATAAGCGTTTGGACTTGTATGGAATCTACTCAAACCTGTCAAGCAATTCCAGCAAAACTTCAGAAATATCTCTGACCTATAATTGCGCACACGACTGCCAAGTTTCGTAAATATGACTTTATTATTTTTCCAAATATTTAAAATTAGTCTTTGGAGTTGTATGGTAGGTACCCGAACCTGTCAAGCAATTCAACTAAAACTTCAGAAATATCTCTGACCTACAATTGGACACAAGACTGCCAAGTTTCATGAATCTGACTTTATTATTTTTCCAAATATTTAAAATTAACTTCTGGAGTTGCATGGCAGGTACCCAAACCTGTAAAGCAATTCCACTAAAACTTTAGAAATATATCTGACCAATAATTGGGCACATAACCGCCAAGTTTCATGGCATTATTCGTGTTTGAGTTATCGTGCGATCGGATGGACGGACGAACGGACGGACGGGCGTGCGGACATGTCTTAATCAATGCAGAATTTTACGCTGAGCAAGAATATATATTTATGTCCATAACGCAGATGACGCCTTCAAGTAGTTACAAATTCCATATTAAAGTTATTATACGCTTCACGAAGTGCAGGGTATAAAAAGCAGAAAATTTGAATGTGTTTTTATTTTTATTTTTATTTTTCAGTAAATTGATTAATACCAAAGCTGCACATATTCATCAAAAATCATAATTTTCAACATTATTCTTTTATTGCTTCTTTTCAAAGACGAAAAATATACATACATATGTGCATATATAGGAAGCATCCAGTTACGACAAGTTTTTCTTCACGCATATTAAGTGAAGAAAAGATTGTCATAACATTCTTGAAAGAAAAATGAAAACAAAACAGTTAAAGCAAAAATGATAACTTCTTGACCAACTGCATAGAGTTGAACAATAAATCTATAAGATCATAATTTTTACCGACCGTATTGTATATAATAGGGCAGGTTATGTGATAGCAACAAATTTTGCATACCGAGTTTTCGGTGGGAACGTTCTTTTCCATAGTAGGGAAGTGTAAATAAACTATTTTTGGTAACCTGTCGGTCTGTTGTTTTCAATGTTAACAAAAATGCGGTCTGCAAACCGACCCCTTTTTTTGCTTTGAAAAAATATCAATTTCAGAATGTCAGTGTCAAGAATTTGAAAGTTCATGGAAAAGCTATCAAATTCGAGTTAGATAGAAATCTACTAGAATGGCAAACCAGCTGATCGTAAGAAAAAACAAATTAGTATATTACTTCAGCTTCGCATTTATATGTTGTAATTTCTTTTTTCTATTTTGCTTTTTCTTTTTTTATGTTTTTGTTTTTATATTTTGATGTATAACAGAAATTATTAAAATCTGGTTCTGATTTCAACAAAGCTCAGTAGATGGGTCTGGCAGAAATATGAAAATCGTAAAATTTTTAGATATAAATCGTAGAAATTTTAGATTTTTCTTATCTAAAAATTTTAGACTGGATCCTTTTAAACATATAGATCTTTGCTTATATATACATACTAGTTTTATTTGTGCATTTCTTTAGCTCATAACGTAAGAGTAATACTATATTTTAAAATAAGACTTTTAATTTAGTTTTGATCAGTTTTAACAATTAACAATCATTGCAATATTTCTCAATAATATTGGTAGTTTAAAGTTTATAATAGATAAACATTTCTAAACATTTTGTTAAATACTTTAATTTAAATTTTTAAATACTACAAGTACAATGTAGTATATGTGAAGAGTTGCAACAAAATTTTGATTTCTCGTTTAAAATTGTGTTTTAATTGCTAAAAATTTTTAGAATAAAATGAATGAACCCAAAATTTGATGACCACATTTGCTATTTAAGTATTCCCATTAATTTTATTGTATGCACTTATAGAAACTATAAAGTGAGCTCGAAAATATTTTTCCAACTACATTCAAACATAATATTCGATTACGGCAGGAGATCTCTATGCAAGATAAAAAGGTAAATATTTTATATTAAATTGTAAAAAAATATAACATCGTACAGCAATAAATTATGATAGAATAAAAATGTCAAAATCTGAAATATTTAAAAAAAAACGTGATATTGTTTAATCATCACCTATCGATTTATTGTATTAGAGTTATCTAAACAAAATTACAATTTAAAGTGCACTTTAAAAAAAAAAATCGGTAACCTAAGGAATATTGATATCTTTATTTTAAAATAGCTACCTCATGTTTTTTTTATCAATTATACCAAATGTGAATTGATTTATTTACATAATAATCTTGAACATGTGGAAATTGTAAAACTAAACATTTAATTAGTAACATTAAAAGTGACACTAAAAGCCTTTTAATGCCTTTAGAAAAGAATTATACAAATATTTAGAATATTTACTGATTTAGCTTTCTTAATTCTAAAATAAGATTAAAAGTAAGTAAAAAGCGAGAAAAAATCAAATCATGTCAACTTGGTGGTACCTGTGCGAACTTGTTGACCTACGTGCGAATAAGTATACCTATGGAACAGACTTATCTTTAATTCTTCTGTATTACAAACGGAGTGGTGAAAGTAATAGTTACTGTACTACTGTTCTATAATTAATAGAAAGTTTCAGTACTGTAATTTCAACGGTTCCTAAGATACGGAAAGACGGACAGACATTGTTAAATCGACTCAAAATTTGACGCTGATCAAAAACATGCATTTATGTCTACATCGTAGACCATTTTTTCTTAGTGCTACAAACGGTAAGGCAAATTATTCGAACCGGGATAAATATACATATTATGCAAGGCTAAAGAAACTGTAATTTTCCAAAACTCTTTTTTCAAAATGATTATACAACCTTTTTGAAATTTTAATGAATTGGCCAAACTTTAATAAATTGATTAAATTCTGTATAACTGTTCAATTATTTGCATATTATCATAAAATATTCAAAAAAATCTTTAAATCGGTGTTCCAAATAAATTATAATTAAAGTTCTTAAAATTTGAAATGTAAATTTTTCTATGACCTTTCACAACTAATATAAAGCGTTTTTAATTTTTTTTTCATTTCAGTTTCAATTTAGCAAAGATTGTGTTTTCCTTATAATAATTTCTTTCTCGAGAAGATGAAAATATTTGTTTTTAATTTTTTTTCTAATAATCTTTTTTCTTCCTTTTGAAAATAAAAAATTATGAAAATATCAGAGCATCAATTGGGTCAACTGATAGCCTCATTCATTTTTTAAGAAATAACTAATTGACATTTTTTAATGAATATAATACACGTTTTAAAATTAGTTGAGCATGCATTCATTAAATTATTTAAAATGGTTGTAATTTTCCGTAAATTCCAAATAAATTTATTTCCTGTAACTAATGGTTAATATTTTACAGGTTCGAATTCCCTTGTTCCTCGAATATAAGCAAAATACTTAAATAATATAAATACTTTTGGCAGCAAATTATATTATTAGAGAAGTTTTATTTACATAGCAACATATTTAAGTAACAATTTAATAGAATCTTTTTGCCCCATTTGGTTTTTTTTGGCTTTTTAATAATATTATTTATTATAAGTATATGTTTTTATAATACTAGACCATTGAAATGTTTCTAGATTTTAAATAACTTTTAGTTTATTATTTCCTAAAATGAAATTTTTAAAGTGCTTTCATTTTATTGGTGTATACTCGTACGATATTCTGTAAAAATTTTACGTACCTAAATACATACTAACCTAAATAAATATTATTAATTTGTATTTCAAAATATGTATTTTAAAATACATTTTAAAGATTTTCAAAATATGTATTTATTTCTAATAATTTCATGATCTTTCATCAAAATAAAAATACCAATAATGTTTTGATTTTTGAAATATATATTATTTTTAATTAAAAACCTCTTGAATTAAGTGAGAGAAAACATATATACATAGATATACATACGTATTATATAGGATTTAAATTTTCCGCAATAGAAGACATTATTATGATTCAATTATTGAACAATTTTTCTGCAAACTATCTGGAAGAAAATGTAACAGACATTTATAAAGTAATTATATTGGAATAAAAGCTGTATAATTACAAAATCATAAAAACGTTCAAATATTTTATTTATTTCGGAAAAAATATATTTCAAAACTTAAGATTATAAAGAAGCTTTCAATTAAAAAAGTTATAATTTTAACATTTCGAATAAGGTTTTTCTAAATCATATGCATACTAATTTTGAATCGCTTCATATAATGTTTATAATGCTATAAATAGCATCAAGTTTTTAAACATTTTCTTGTTTCAACTATTTTATAAAGAAATACATAACATATTCTTATTTTTCAGATGACGTAATTTTTCAAAATAGCACCACAGAGAAAAAGCAGAAATATATAAACCCCTTCCCGCTGTGTACAATTATCTTTCAACGATGCGTGACTATAATGTAAACATTTATTCACAACAGCAGAGCAATGAAGTTATCAATATTAAGTAAATTATGGATCATTTCACACCAAAAAAACTCATGAATAACTTTATTTATAAAACTCAATAAAGTAATTGAAAAAAGTGTAACTTTCTGTGTATAAAAAAATTTTGTTTTTAAGTTTATTGAATAAAAAATTCTATAATTTAATAAATTTCAAAATTAATGTTTTTACACAATGTGTGCACAGTACTGATCATAAAAATTTATTTACATCAGCTAAATAAGTATTTTTTGACTGATATAATTAACGTATATGTAAGTATAGGAAATGAACCATTCGCTGAAATAATTCAGTGGTAGACAGAAAGCTGGTTATAAGCAGCAAAACGAAATTTAAGCTATTTAGCTTGGCTGGGGTAGAATTGTGTGGTTTTTCTCTCATGTAGCATTCACCATGTTGCTTGAATTTTATTTAGTACCATCATATTTAAATAACAACCAGTGTGGTTATTTGGAATGTTTTGATTATAATTTGAATTGTTCTTATATTTCTTTTGTAATTGGACGTGTTGATTCTTTTAAATACTTGGATGCTATTTTAGATTATAAATTTAGTTGGCACGAGCGCACATCATATTTACAAAAACATTTGAATGGAGTTGTTCGACAAATGTGTCATTTGAGCTTATATTGTCTTTGCTCTCTTCTTATACTGGTTTCAAATGATCTTTTTAAGTCTGAATTACAATGTGGCTTGGTCTGTTGGGGTGGCACCCATTCTAATAAAATTCTCCCCTACTAGTGAAGCAAAAACATTTTGTTCGAATTATTTCGAAGGGAAATAGGCGGTTACATAGTTTCGATTTGTTTAAAAGGCTTGACATTCTTCCCTTGAGGCATTTATATGTTTATAAAGTGTTAAAAAAATTCTTTGAAAACCCCGGTTCGTAATTTGTAATTTTAGGTTCAGTTATTTTTATTTATTATAGGTCATAAATTATTGTTATTAAATTGTTATTGAATTAATTGCTAATTTCTATTTAGGCAAAACATAATATGTTAAGTTTACTTTACACTTAAAATATGAAAAATTGGTGTTATAATGAACAAAATAAATCACTAATATAATAATAAAATATAATAATATAATAATAATATTATTTATACGCATTTACTAGTACATTCAACATCCAATGACACACAATCACATCACACATCTAATACAAAAAATTTTAAAATGTTCAAATCTAATACATTCATATGTACATACATATATTTGAGTAAAAATATTATTTTGTTTATGCCCAAGCTTTTTCTTTATTTGAAAAATTTATTTTTGTTTGTTTACCCCCATGATTTAAAAATTATGTGTTTAAAATTTATTTCTATATGCCAAACCACAGTTTTGATTATTATCCAATTCATATAGGAAGCTTAAAAAAAAATTAGTTAGGAAGCTTTAAAATTATACATACATACATGCTTAACTTATGTACTTAAAATTTTTCCGAATTTTTTCAAGCTAATATAACAATATTTTTTTGGAAACTTTTTCTTCACTTTTATAATAATATTTATCTGTTATATATTAAAAAAAATTGATGTGGTCAGCACATAATCGACCGTAGTGTGTTTTGTCTAGATTAGCAAAAGTATTTTAGAAGGTTATGAATATTTGCTTAAACACTTCTTCACAATTTTAAGGACACTAATAAGTTTTTAGTTGACATACCTAGAAAAATATAAATTTGACTCTTAGTAGAGTTTCATTTTATGCCGTCTGCTTTATAAAAATAGTTTTTCAGTAACTTCTGGTAACAACTAGAGCTCAAATAATTAATTTCAAGAAAGTTCATCAATTCGTTCCCTAGATATGGCAAAAAAAGTAATATCGGCCCCCAGATCAGTTTCCAAATCCTGATCTTTCCAAAAAATACATAGAGTCACTGTTTTAAAATTAATAAACTCGAATTTAAATATTAAATTTCAATGAAATCGATTGATTATTTTAGGTTATATACGCAAAAATGTATATTTGGCCCGTAGTAAACATCCAGTTGCTGACACCTGATTTCTTCCAAAAGTTCATCAATCAAAGCACGGTCGAATGAAGCTTACATATGAAATTTCAAGTAAATCTGTTGAATATTTTTTTCAAAATGGTCAAAAACGTAAAATAGGCCTGATATATCCCAAAAGTTCATCAATCCGTGCCATAGTCGAAATAAACTTACATATAACATTTCATCGAAATAGATTCAGCCGAACTTGCGATACACGCGTGCACACACAGACCGACAGACTGACATGTTGCTAAAAATAGTTTATTTACACTTCCCTACTATGGGGAAGTGCGTTCCCACCGAAAACTCGATACGCAAAATTTGTTGCCATTTTTTTGGTTTTACTATGTATCATATTACATTATTGTAATTACCAGTAATAAACTCAATGTTTATGTTTTAATTTTGTCATTAATGTACGATTAACTCTTTAATCGTACATTAATGACAAAATCGTAAAATTGAATTTAGTTTTTAGGTATACATTTTTTTTTTTTTTTTTTTCTTTTTGATGTTAATTTTTGTAAACCCTGTATAAATTCTGTAATTTTGTAGCATCTTATATGGTGCATTTATATAAAATAAAATAAAAAATAAAAATGAAATAATAAAAATAATAATAACGACAATAACAATAATTATATTAAAATAATAATAACAATAATAATAATAATAATAATAATAATAATAAAAATAATAATAATAATTATAATTAAAATAATAATAATAATAATAATAATAATAATAATAATAATAATAACAATAATAATAATAATAATGATAATAATAATAATAATAACAATAATAATAATAATCATTATAATAACAATAATAATAATAATAAAAATAAAATTAATAATAATAATAATAATAATAATATAATATCAATTTTTTTTGTGTCTTTTCGAAAAGGATGAAAAATGCTTCATGCAGAAAGTGGAGGGACTATCTGACCAACTTTTTTCCACTCATCTTCACTGACTAGCATTACACCTATTATGTTCTCTGGTGTCAAAGATCCAGCCGTTGCAGCAAGTGTGGATCTATGTTCTCCTGTTACAGTGCATTCAAAGAAGGTGTGCTATAAGGTATCTTCTGCAGCTCCGCAATGACAACATCTTGAGCTGGTCAATTTCTCCATTTTGTGCACATACGAACAGAAATATCCGTGACATGATAAAAATCGCGTGACGTAAAAGTTCACCTCTCCGTGTTTTCAGTTTATCCATATGAGGAATTAACCTTGCCGTCCATTTTCCTGTGAACGACTGTCCTTAAGTAATAATTTCCGGTTTGGGTCGCCTCAACTGTTTTTTGTATCACCTGAATAACATTCAATGTCGACCTTCCTTTCCCAAATCCACACTGCATATGTGGAAGGAACCACCAACCACCCGTATCGCTGCTTTCAATCGGGAATTCAATAATTTCTTGAGGAGCTTGCCTGTTACGTCAAGCGTACACAATGGTCTGAAAGATGAAGCCGTTATGGTTCCCCCCTTAGCCTATTTTATAAGCACTAATCGTGCCGACTGCCACCTTTGGCAAAATACGCCCTCTTGTTCATACGTGTTGTAAATCTGGAGCATTGGTTCCGGGTATACAGAAAATGCTATTTCTATGACCTCAGGCGAGATACAATCAGGACCTGGCGCCTTTTTACTTTTTAGTGCTTTTGCTGCCATATATAATTCACTCCTTTTAAATTGTGGAACTTCATATATGCCTTCGCCTCCCAAACATTCTTCTTCTTTTTGGATGAGTTGGAAAAGGGGCTCCTCAATATTCTCAACCATCTCCATTTGTGATTCGTTATCCTCTGCTGGGGATCTAAACTTTTACATTGCAATCTTGTATCCAAGCCCCCAGGAATCATTGTTAACTTTCTCACATAGCGCTCTCCATTTAGTCATTTTACTTTTTTTATAGGAGTTTGAAGTTGTTTCCTGAGTTGTTTATGCTGCACAGACATAGATGCGGCTGTCTGTTTTTTTTCTGGCTCTCTGTGCCATCCGACGAAGTTGCAGATATCGCCTTCTCAAATCAGCTATTTCATATGTCCACCAGTACACAGGACGTCTAGCTTGCCTTATATTTCTACGTGGCATGGCTGCGTCACAGGATTGTGTGATTACATTCATTCTTGTATGAGCTATCGCTTCTGCTTTTTCTCGTCCTCCCAGCCGTTGTGAGGTTATGGTTGCGGTTTTGACACCAGTTCTCAATGTTGATTTCAATTTCTTGACATTTAGCTTTGACGTATTCCATCCAGGATTTCGATTATTATTATGTTCTCGATTCGTGCTTGTCTCGCATAGTTCGAAAATTATGTATTGATGGTCGCTGCCAGTATAATCCTCGGTAACGTGCCAGTTACGAATATAATTTGTGATATCGGCTGAGGCCATAGTAATGTCTGGTATCGTTTCGGTGTGTCCAAGCCTTCTGAGAGTTGATATATTCTTTATGGTAAGTACCGCTAGGTTTTGTCTGGCCACCAGTTCTAATATTTGCCTGCTCCTGTAATTTGTATGCGGCTCGCTCCATTCCATCGCTTTAGCATTGAAATCGCCGGCAACTATTACATTTCCTCGTATGTCCTCCACTTTGTCCTACAATTTTTCTAAGATTTCTGTGAACTGTTGCGATGTCTGTTTTGGCGTAAGATAGCAACTAATGATTGTAATTTTACTGCATTTAATCCAAACAAAACCCTCCTCGGTTTCATGGTCTTCTATATTTATTTTTTCGGGGCTGACCACCCAAATCGCCGCTGTGCCGGTTTTGTTTGGGAACCAGTTGGGATTTTCCTTATTTTTATACTGCTCGGTTATTATGAGCAAATCAGACTCTTCCTCGCAGATGAACTGCGTTAAGAGCTCATTTTTTCCACCTTGTAACTTCTTCGAGAGCATCCCGAAGTGTCCTACATTTCCCGGAACCTGAGTTTTCAGTCATTTAATCTTTCCTTTCTGCACACAGGAGACGTCTGGAAGCTCCGCTGTAATGTCTTTTCCGAGGGCCGAAATTTAAAGATCTATAACATCTTATCACTTGTGTTCTTGGCCTGATCTAATCCTTGGTCCATCTAATTAAACCGACTCTTATTTTGGCTGTCTTTAATAATTTTCTGGCATCGCTCTTCGCC